CGTTAATCAATAAAGTATAAATAATAAGACAGACTTGTGATAGATGAAAAATAGATTAGATCATAGATAGTAATAAAAAACAACCATGAAGAATAGATATATTTCTTTAATCCTATGATAAAACTTGGGTATCACAATCTTACATACTTTATAAAAAATTGACTCAAAAAATATCACTTTGCCAAATAATCAGCCCAATTGGCTAAAGGCATTAAGAAGTTGTCAAAATGATGCAAACTCTGGCATATACTGAAGGTTTCTAGAAAGACAGACTTTTTAACAGATAGATCACACAGCATATACAGCAAAACCAGCAGAGAGAAAGAAAATTTGGAAAAAATGATAAGTATGATTACAGCGAGAGGTTAAATTTTCTCCAAGTTCAAACTTGTAATGCCCATCTTTATCATCTCCTCTCCAAGGAGGGGAAGCATCTCGTTCCTGATCCTTTGCAGACTGGGATGCACAAGTGTGATCTGAAGCACCCCCCGAAGGAACCAAGCTCTTCAAGTTAACTTCTTGTCCACATAAGATACCTATTTGAGCCTACAGACAACCATTGATTTATTTTTCTCCCATCCAACAAACAAAATCATTATTTCCTTATAAATTTATTTTCTTCACTTTCGTGATGGACATTCAGAAAACTGGTTGCTGTTGACAAACAAGAAAGCCTAAAGCCACTCTACAAGGAACAATATCAAGCTTTATAGAATGTCAAGGGCCAAGCACATGCTAATATGAATATGCATTTATCAGATCAAAATTCCTTATAATACATTAACAAGCCAGTGGATTAATCCTCACCTAAGAACAATTGCAATATTTGATAAACAAGAAACTCACCCTGTTGTGTCAGTGACTTTTGTTAGAATACGAATATAAGTTCAACATAATAGCTATCACAGACATCAATAGCTTCACGTAATGACAAAGAAAAAATGGAAACACTGAAAAAAGAAGTTAAATGAAAGTTAAAATTATCTCTCGATCACAATTTCCTGTTTAAAAATGATAAGTGAAGGGAATTGATTTTCAATAAATAATTCGTTCCTTTCTTTTAAAGAGCACGATATACAAATTCGACTCTATTTTAAGGGAAAAAGCAGCGTCATGTCTGCTTCTTTCAGCTATCTATTCATAAGAACCAAGAAACATATCAAGTTCCTACACGAAGAGATACTCCGCCTCGAATCCAGATCTGGCATATCATAAATCTTCTAAAATCATAGTCAATTTCCAAAAATTTATCCGCTTATTTATGGGAAAACATTGATACTTTTCGAGCTCATACTACGAAGTCTTCAAAATCATGCAGAAAAAAAACAAAAAAGACGACGACGAGCACCAGCGAAGAAGGATACACAACGGTTGCCCAGATCCATCAAGATAGAAACAAAAAAAGATAATTGAAAAGACAAACTACAAGATCAAACACGAAACATAAAAGAAAGAACAAATAAAAAGTAAATTCAGAGATATCACCTCATCTTACCGCTAGATCTAAAGAAAAACTGCCCTTGATCTACCCGATCCGAGATCAGATGATAAAATAGAAGAATCAAAACAAGGGAGAACAACAAGGGGGCAATACCTTGGCCGCGGTAAGGGGGTCAACGTCCCACCCTAACCTCGGGCGCTTCCGGGGCCGGCGATCCATCAGAGGGTGGGGAAACTCCTTCAAGCATTCGATCTCCATGATCGACTCGATTCGAGAGAGAAAGAGGAGGGAGTAATTGAGATTGGAAGACGGAGATGAGGAGGAATAGGATTCTTGTCACGGAAGAAACGTTAACCCGAACCCTAGAAAAGGAGGAGGATAACAGACGCGGAAGGAGGCGATGCGGTGGCCGACTGTGCACCGCACGTCGTGCATATATATAGAGAGAGAAGAGAGAAACCCTAACCATGGTCAAATTCTTCGCCAACTCGGGTTTGTAGCTAATCCTTAATTGGGTTAATGTAACCGGTAGAGTCCAATACCTACCCATCAAATTCTTCTTCGGACTAAATTAACACTTTTATTTTTTTATTTAATTAGATGAATATAAAAAATATAGTTTATTAATAGATAAATTCATATTATTTTTTTATTTTATCTTAAAACACGTTTCACGAGACCCCAAACTATTTGAGCTATAAATCAACTGATTTTTTAGGTCGTTCAGATCAAATCATACTCGATCATGCGACATTCAGATCAGATCACACTCGATCGCATGATATGATCTTGTAAATATTATTGGATTCAAAGGCCGCCTTACATGGGCTTTTTATTGGATCGCATGGGCTCAAATCTGAAGAGCAGTAAGGATGATACAGATTGTAGAGTCTGAATTGCAAAGAGCCTTTCTATGATGCTTAGCTACGAATTGCATGACTCTTGATGCTAAGCTACGAATCAATCTGATGAGTGATGATACGAAGCCAAAGGCTAAGCTAAGTTTTCCACGCGTTTGTGGAAGGATTGGTGTGATCATTGTTTTGACGTGCAAGTCCACGTTTGAAAGTAGAACGCTTTACGAGTCGTGATGGTTTCTTGTTGTCGCTGATCTCACCGTCCATCTGATTCTACCATATAGGACGCGTTCTTCGGTTGACTTGAAAAGTCATCCTTTTCTCGCTCCCTCTTCTTCCTCTACTTCGTTCCCTGTGCCACCCGCACAAGAAGCATGAAGCTACAAGCCGCTACTTCCGGCGCTGCTAGCCTCACTCTACAACGTTCTCTTCTCAGTAGCAGCACCGGCTCGACTCCCGACATGCCGCCGCCTCCTTCGACGGCCTTCTTCCTGTCATACCCTCTTTGGATGAGCGCCACCTTCTCCTTTTTCATCGGCTTCACCATCGGCATACTCCTCTTCTTCCTCTGGTGGTCCGTCGTTCGTCTCTCCCGGTTCGTCGTCCACCGACGCACCCTTAGCAGGATCTTGGCCGAAGAGCAAGCTCCTGCGAACGCTGCCACTGTCTTCAGCCCGATGCTCCGCCACCCGGACACCATCCCCTTCTTCCAGCATCTCCAGCACGAAGGCCTACCCTTCCTCGCCCAGATCATCGGCCGGGGCGGGTGCGGCGAGGTATACAAAGCCGAGATCTTCGTCGAGAATCGGACGATCCCCGTAGCCATCAAGAAGATCGACCACCTTGCCGCAACTGGCGCCGCCAGCGTGTGCCAGGAGGAGTCGGAGCTCCTCAACATCCACACGCGGCAGGTACGGTCGGAGATACTCACCGTGGGGCGGATGCGCCACCCCAGTCTTCTTCCTCTGCTGGCCCACGTCCCCAAGCCCGACTGCCACTACCTCTTGTACGAGTACATGCCGAACGGGTCTCTGCACGACGTCCTGAAGCAGAGGAGTTTGCAGTGGCCGGTTCGGTACAAGATCGCGCTCGGCATCGCCGCCGGCCTCGAGTACCTCCACATGGTGCACCGGCCACAGGTCATCCACAGGGACCTGAAGCCGGCGAACATACTGCTGGACTGCAACCTCAACGCCCGGATCGGCGACTTCGGGCTGGCGAAGGTGGTGCACGAGATGATGAGCGGGACGGTGGCCTCCAACAACGTGGCCGGCACGCTGGGCTACATAGCGCCGGAGTACTATCAGACGATGACCTGCACCGCCAAGTGCGACATCTACAGCTTCGGGGTGATACTGGCGGTGCTCGTCACCGGCCGGTTCCCCAGCGATCAGTTCTTCCAGGCGACGGACGAGATGTGCATCGTGGGGTGGTTGAGGAACGTGCTGCGGTCGGCCGACCCGGCGGCGGCGATCGACGGGAGGTTGATGGGGAAAGGGTTCGAGGAGCAGATGCTGCTGGTGTTGAAGGTTGCTTACTTCTGCACATATGACGACCCCGCCGAGAGGCCGAACAGTAGGGACGTCAAATTAATGCTGTCACAGATAAAGCCCTACTAAACTGCAACACTTGTGAGCAGCTTAAGAAGACAACGGCACACTATGGATTACTTCTCATTTGCAGAGAAACACTTCTGTGAAGAGTTGAATCTGACTTGAGTCAGCACGAAAGTCTTCTTCTTGTTTTAAGAATACAATAGCACGACTTTCTGCACAATATCATGTGAAGAACACATTCCGGTGACTAAATCTTATGACAAATTATAAACATTTGAACCACATTTTAGCGAAATAGTCAACTCATTTGATCATTGAAAAGGTAGTCAAAGCAATTAAAACGGGTTCTTGTTGAATGGACAGTGTCTGAGATTTCGATTGGCCACTCAATATAGGCATGTACTATTTCTCTGTAGACTTGAAAGTGTATCATTGCAGATAACCTAAAGAAGACAAGATTGATATGAATATTATTTTAAATATAAATTAGGCTGACTTGGCATAGAAAGGTTGGAGAGAATTCAAGTGCAAATTTGTTGATACAATTTTCTGTGATGTTAGAAATGTATTATTATGTGCTGTAGCTACTTTTCAGTGGGCATAGAGAAAGACAACATGAAAAGGCTTTGTATCTCGTCAGATGCTAGATATGTTACAGCTAATTAAATGTGTTGGAATGGTAGATGTTTCTTCTTTTTTTTGCTTTTGTTCTTTGGCGATATTGACTCTAGCTCATCATCTAATCTGAATTTGGTGTAGCTTGGATTGTCACAACAACTCGGACCCTTCTCTCGAGATTGCCCAAGCTACTGCAGATCATATCATTAGTTTTATGGAAGTAATGATGAAGAAAACCGTAACATAGAAGTGGAATCCTCAAGCCTCCTACGACCCCATTGGTGAGGTGAACCTTCTACTTTTGATCGTCCATTCTCTTTTCGAAGGAGATGCAAAAAAATTGAATCTGCATCGAGGATATTCGTTCGAGAGTTTCCCTTTACCGTTTTTTTTGCCTCAGCAAAGGAAAAGACATGATAGCAACCAGCATTACCTTCATCAAAGGAGGACATGATATCGAAGTAGACACGCTTCCTCTATAACCTCTCGTACAAGTTTCAGTCATATCCTATTCGAGAAGCATGGCTTCGATAACATCCTCGGTGAAGAGACTGCTCATAGCCACCATAATTTTTTCCTTTGTTGATTTTTTCCTTAGGTAATGTCTCTTTGGGAAGTTCTTTTTCGGAAAAGAGAGAGGCTGTTGGTGACGACGACGACAACAACAACATATGATGGGAACAGGTGAATCATAAATTCTCACTATTAGGGATGAAAAAACGAGTCCATAGAGGATGTGGGACTGTTAGTGTTTCAATATGGTAAATAAGGTGCTTTGACGATGAACTCCAAGTAGGAAGAAGAAGAAGAAGAAATTATCATATCAGTATCTTGAATGAGACTTGTACGAAAAAAGGTAATTCTTTTGTAGAAATAGACTTTTGCTTCCTTCTCGCAAGGATGTTTCTGTTTTATTTATATTCAAAAAGATGAAAACTATCATCACACTGAGAAATCGACTAACTTGCCAGAAAGTTCAATTCTGCTACTCTTAACTGATACCAAGCAAGCAAAGAGGCTGATATCAATATTGGTACTGAGCTGGTGAAAGAAAGATCAAAGAGAGAAATAGCACAGAGATGGATGGAACCAAGCTGGAAAGGCCATTTCGTTTCCGCTGGCACCCATTGGCACCTTGGTTGGTTGTCTACTACAATGGCAATAGTATGGTTGGTTGTCTACTATGTTTATGTACCCATTTTAGGTTCATGCATTCTCATGTCATTTTATTTTCTGAATCGATTTAAATAAATTTTGGATATACATATTTATTCAATATTCATGCATATTATTTTGGATAATATCTACTTTATTCATGAATAAAGTGGATAATAAGTCTAGTTCATGCATATCAGTTTATATCCAAAAATAATATGCATGAACCCGTAAATTCTCCTCATATTATTTATTTTATTTATGAGTATTATTTTAAATATAAATTTAAAGGGTTGCTTTCGGCTTTTCATTTTTTCAATACAACAATAACCCATAGTCATAAAAAAAAATATACATTTTTCTCCTCTCGTCCCCATCTATTTATTGTCAATTTAGGTGAAGAACTTGAAGAGAATTGATGCCCCCAAAACCTCTTGATTTGCTTAGATATTTATGAAATCCCTAATCACTTTTGCCTCCAATTGTCCTTGTGTTGAGGTAATTGTTTGCTTGCTGCATTTTATTTGTGTTTTCTTGGATCTCTAAGCTCTTGAAAGAGATTGAGAGGACGATGATCAAGCACGCTACTAAGGAAATAAGTCATTAAGCTTAAATCAGACATCTCAAACTCTTTTTTTATAAAGTGCTTAAAATCTTTAATCATAGAGCTATTATTACCTATAAATATTAAATCATCTACATACAAGAGAGCATGTTCATGTGAATATTTAGAAAAATCAGTTTAAATAAAATAAGTATCTATTCAAGAATTTCATACTCGGGTGAGGCTTTCATAGCATGCTTGTATCAGTGACTTTTGTTAAAATATGAATATAAATTCAACATAATAGCTATCATAGACATCAATAGCTTCACGATAAAGAAAAAAATGGAAACACCTAAAAAATAAGTTAAATGAAAGTTAAAATTATCTCTCAATACAATTTCCTATTTAAAAATGATAAGTGAAGGCAAATAAGTGAAGGGAATTGATTTTCAATAAATAATTCATTATTTTCTTTTAAAGAGCACGATATACAAATTTGACTCTATTTTAAGGGAAAAAGCGACTTCCCTTGATTTGTCTTCACCTCAATTGTTCCTTTCCCTTCCACTTGAATTTATTTGTTATCTCCAAATCTAACTTTCAACTTATTAGTTTTATTAATATCTGTAAACATTGATTTTATGCCTGACATATGATTAGAACATCTACTATCTAGAAACTAAATATCATTTAAGATATCATTAACTTGTGAATGAGTTATAAACAATTTACTATTTTCTTCATTTTTCTCCACATAGCTTGCATGCTTTTCCCTTTTCTAGTAATCTGCCTTCATGTGACCAAACTTTTTACAATGGTGATATTAAATTCTACTCTTATAGTTTTTTAATCATAATTTGATTGCTTTTGTTCATCATGCCCATCAAAGTGCCCTCTTTCATTTTCTCTACCACGAAATCCTCCTCTGACACATCCTCTTCTTGCTGATTTTTTATTTTCTTTTGAAGTAGAAGACTCCCCCTTAACTTGAAATGTTTTTACTTTACTTTTTTCAAATGACCTATTCAACCTTGCTTCATGTGCTTACAAGGAACCCATTAGTTCATCAAATGAAAATATAGATAAATCTTTTGACTCCTCAATTGCAGTAATAACATAATTATTCCCTTCTCGTTGCGTTAATATTCACCAGCATTCCCTTCGTTGGAGATGACACCTCAATTGCGACAACAATATGATCGTTCTCTTTAAAAATATCAAAGCGGATGCGCTTCTCGTTAATGCCGCGTGATATGCTATGGTGGCTCTGCCACCTCTTGTACAAGCAATTTAAAGAGAACGATCATGTTATTATCGCAATTGAGGTGTCATCCCTAACGAAGGGAATAATGATGGATATTAACGCAACGAGAAGGAAATGATCGTTGCTATAATCGAGGAGTCAAAAGATTTCTCAATATTTTAATTTGATATGACATCACTGGATATATCCGTTTGAAGCACTTCAAGAGACATTCCCCGGATCCATCGTTGATTGAGATTGATCATGATAAGGTTCACAACATCGTCCTTCCTGGTGAACTGTCTGTCCATTCCAAATGTTCCTCAATCCTCCATAAAGTGTGATAAAGGAGAAAGAATTAAGTTTCAGGTCTGATGTTCTCTCCTTTCAGCAGGTATGCTCTTGTTTGTTTGTTTGTTTTCAAGTCGATGCACTTTGGTTCATTATTTTTTACCTAATTCTTGCTGTATAATGCACATTCTGTGTGTTCGGAGATAGTGACCGGTTAAACTGCATATTTTATGATACATTGCAGACCAAATTTAAAATCTTTGATGATATTTCTCATTTTTATAGCGAGGTAAAAAGTGTGCATTAATTGATGTTGTAAGAAGAGTGTTTTTAAGGATTTGAAACTAAGGTTTGAGTTACTGGTTAGAGCCGATGTGTCGGTTAGCCGGTGGCATAGAACGTGTTGTCCTGTACCGATGTATTAACACATGGTATATTAGTACATATCGATGTTTTGATGAGGAAGAAAAATAGATTGAAGAGGAAGGTCCAATGGAGGAACTAAGGGAGGAAGATTTAAATATTTGTTGGAACTTTATGTACTGTGATAATTTTTTTGTTCCAATTAAATGCTGATATCGAAAGTCATAGCTCATCAAGAACAATACCGTGATTAGTGGCGGCCAGGATCGGATCGTCAAGATCTGGGATACAAAATCTGGGACTCTAAGCTCCACACTTCATGATTGCCTTGGATCCGGACATGTAGATGAAGTTGTGAGTGAAGTAGCTGCTCGTTCGCAAGCAGTCACATCGATCTACAATATCATGCGAAGAACACATTCCGATGACTAAATCTTATGACAAATTATAAACATTTGAACCACATTTTAGCGAAATAGTCAACTCATTTGATCATTGAAAAGGTAGTCAAAGCAATTAAAACGGGTTCTTGTTGGATGGACAATGTATGAGCTTTCGATTGGCCACTCAATTTAGGCATGTCCTATTTCTCTGTAGACTACAAACTGTATCATTGCACATAACTTAAGGAAGATAAGATTGGTATGAAGACGATAGACTTCTTCTTAGACTTGACTTATATACCTTATAAAACAAATAAACAAAATTAAGAAGTTATACTCCTTAATATTACACAAAAGGAATGCATCATAATATTTGCTCTTTATCTTTTTGTTATTATATAATTCATAGATAGGTTCTCACAAGATTATATCATTGTCTTGTCTTCTTTTGTTACTTATAGGGTTTAGGGTTTATTACATACAT